GCATTCTATTCTCTACCCAAAAATATGAAAAATGATGAATGGAGCATTGTGACTGTCAAAAGTTATATTTATTTTCTTTACAAATTCAGGGAATTTGTGCGAATCGGTCGAGATGTTTGCGGGTATCGGCGCATTATTCGCGGGCGCATCGTTTGTGAGCTACACAATGCAACCCTTTGGCGACACAATGCACGTCACTAATCTAGATCATGTGCGCTATTGTCACCATGCACAATAAGCGTCTCGGACATCTCATTCGATGTCGATATGAAAGATGTTACGACAATGAATGCAACTGTTGGGTGCCGCTGTGTTTTACAACTCGTAGCTCCGACTTACGGTCAGTGGTCGACGTATAAATTAATGTTTTCTATTACAGTTTATTATGAGCTAACCGCAGTGTCGACAATCGTTATCCTAAACATGCTTATTTATAATCGTAGCATCGTGCTTGTGCCGGGGGCGCGCGGCGTCCGATCCTTTGAATGCACCCATACATCACGGCTCCTAAGTAGACAGTATATCAACCGATATTCAGAGTAATTAGCCCTTTGGCGACGGACCTCCGGGATTTATTGTGGTAGGGCGGTAATGTGGCCGACAGCCGTATTGCCGGCTTTTGTTCTCCAGGCCCGAAATATTCAATTGGGTTATTATTCCGTGCGTTAAGTAGAACTGTCGGGAACTGTTGAAGAAGCCAGCGACGCCTATTATTAAATAAGTGCATTACAGCTTCGGTGTCCTCCGCGGGGAGGTAAATTGATATTTAGAGGCGGTTATGAACAGCTATCGCGTCAATGATTACATCTATACGTTTACTGATAATGCTGGTTTAAATTACCTTCGGTATGTGAGAGGAAGATTATTGAAATATTTGGGAGTAGAATTAACTTTTTTTTTGTAATTTAGACAACATCAATGTTATCTAATGATCGCTACCTATTAAGTAGCTGGGTCGCCGTTTCACTCAAAGAATATAAAGTTGCGGAACATGTGAACTCAATATTCTATTATCACAAAGATAACTTTCCGACAAAAGAGTTAGGATGTTGCACAAAAAGGGGCGCTAATCAGTTCGGTTGCTACCGCGATCCGTCAATTAATTAAGTTGCCTATAGATATGAGAGGCGACAAAGAGACAGCCGACGGAGAATGCTACCACTTCGCTATATCGAAATAGTTATCATGAAATAGAACCTTATTATCTTACGCATAGAAGAGATTTTGTTAGATATCGCCGATAGTTGGTGCATTAAGCTACCGTAGGCGACGGCTCATGATAACGCGGAGTGCAGCAACATCGTAAAACATCATTAGCAAGATAAACCTCCTAAAAGTAGCCTTTAGTAAACCGAACTCAGGAAGTTATACAGATATGTGCGCAACTTGATTAATGTGAGGAGAAACTCATTCGTTGATATATTAATGACAATACGAAAATGTTCTCGAAAGATATTTCAAACAAAAAATAAATAATCACTATACTGTTGTTTGTTACATTGTGTTGTGATAGATGTTATTTTGGCAAACTACATAGGAAAGGTCCTCATAATTAGTGAAAAATGTTCTCGAGAAGAGTAAACAGTAATTTTATAGCATTTAAGTCGTTAATAGAACAAACAGAGTCATTGTGTGGTTGGTGCGATAAGAAAAAACGAACAAAGGGGGGCCGAGATGTTAGAAAACTTAATTTTACACCCGAATCAAAACTTCATCCCGTATTGTGTTTGTATGGTGCTAACCAATTCTCTTTTGTTGCGACCCCGCCCACGCTTATTATCAGATGTTTGGATGGCATGTCATTTTTTATCAAAACAATAACGTTTTTTTATTGAAACAGTAGGGTAACACGGTCGCTCTCACGCGTGATGCCACAAGTGAATTTGTCAAAGGTCTAACAATGCAGTCAAATATAATTTACGTCGACATATAAATTATACTATCTAACTTTTGTGTTCTTAGAAAATAGAAACAAGGAATAATTGTTTAGGGAATATCAAGAAAGCGCCCACACGAATTAATTTTCAAACATAGTTTACTTTAATCCAAATAATGACAAGCTCCTTGAGAATAGGCATAAGATTTAGCAAGAAAATAAGTTATTGACTAGTTAATTCTGTTTTTCATGGGATGAATTTTTATTTTTAGACGGATTAATTGAAAATTAAGTGAAAGATAAACTTATTATTCGGGTATTTTTACCAGAGTACCTTAATAAAATTTAATTTGTTTTATCGTACCAGCTATCTAATCTTTCTCCTTCATACCAAGACTTCATAAGGGCGGCGTGCCACAATTTACTTGGCCAATATCTTAATAAAAACAACACGAAATTACAGTTATTCGTGTCCACGTTCCGCGACCTTTAAAAAAATAATGCCAGTATATCCACCCACATTGGTTATAAATTAATAGAATCTGCCCTCATCGTGTGTCATATAATAATGGTTGATTGGGTTCGTGTGAGGTATTTTTTTATTATTTTTAGGAAATATCCCGACGCGATCGCACAGCGTCCCGCTAATTCTCTACATCTGGGCAATGATGATTTATTATATCTAAAGGGTAATAACAGGATTGACAAACAAACGTACGGGTTGTTTGGATTTAGAAGTATGGGCAGAGGACAGTTTTTTAAAGGTATCGCATTTTTTAGGCTCGAACAGCCGAGAAAAATTGCAAGTAATTTGTCAATGGAATTATAGAGAATAGAATCGTCAATTTTGTTGGATTAAATGACAAATAAATTATTGGCATGCACATAATTATTGAGTTAATATTGTTAGTGCTCCGAACAGCGTTACCGTAGGTGTATAATTAGAAAGTACTACTACGGGTTGGTGCTGAAAATCAGCGCCGTGGACTCGAGCCTCTGTGCCCAGTCCACAGTATTAGGCAGAGCTCCAGCCTTTTGCTCTGCGACGCACCGTGGGCTTTTTTGTGTGTACCTAATAAATGGTTCGGTCGTGGCGTAATAAATGGTTTTTGTTTCTTTCTTTCTTATTAGTGGTAAATAAATTAATTTCCTATTTGTGTAGAGCGAGTATATTTCAGCTACACCTAACAGTATATCCAAAATTGCCGGCATTATTAGATCACAAAAAAAAACGAAAATTTACGAAATATATTTTGAAGGAATGCGTATACCTATAAGGAATGGATATCAAATAGTAGATATTTTTTGCAGTTTACAAATTAAGTTAACGAAACCAGACATTGATGTCTTCATTATGCTAATTTTCATCCGCCTCTATTCACCTCCCGCTGATTTGTTGACAGCCTCCATTGTTTTTCAAAAAGTATTAAAAAAAACAACAAACTTTGGTTTATTTTAACAATGTCACAAACACAAGTAATAGTTGACGAAGGATTTATGGGATCAATTCTAGAGGTATGAAACTGTTATAGGAGTTTTGATGTTGGCGATTCTCAGAAATTGTACTTGTAATTTGCATTATCACGTCGAAACCACAAAGCCATGTTAACATAATATGATCACAGCCGAACATATTACAATACTAGAGGTATAAAATACCTACTTACTAAAAGTTTAATAAAGTGAAAAAATATAAATAACAATAATTTATTTAGAAAAGAATTGAAAAATTTACTTATTAAGCATTGTAATCACCATAATAAGGATTTTTTAAATGATAATTTATTAGCATAAATTATCTGCATAAATTATCGTTTAAAAATATTATTATAATATATAATTATTATAATTGAACTATCATTGTTTCACATATTTTAACTTTAGTTGTCTCTTTATCTAATATAAATTTTATAATTATATTGTTCGCCAATTGTGGCAAAACATGTTCAGACTTTACCGTTGTCTGCATTTTGCATTGATATGTACTATATAATGTTACCCACACAAGTTTATACAAATAATTATCTCTTTATTTTTATCTTTAAAGCAAAGAAAAGTTTAAGTCACAATCAATGAGTGAAACTTATTTAGTCTCGAAGAATAGAATATCTAGTATATAAGTTATGAATAAAGAGTGAACCTACCAGTATTAACAATCGAAGTATAACAAGATCATATAAGTATATGGAATGTAATTAATAATTTTGTTAGGCAAGTTCGAAGCCGAAGGCGGATAAACTGTTTACTGACTTTTTGATTTAGAAGTTCAAAGTGATGGTATTTACCGTCAGACTATTTAATCTGATATAGTATATTTAATCAAAAGAAGTTTTAGTTTGTGTTTGGTGATTGTAAGCCTAGATAATAGTTGCGGAGAACCTAATGGGTTACCGGGGCTCCGGCTCGATGTGCAGGAGAAGGAACGGGATGGTTTTTAATTATTAAGAGTCTGACACTCCCTCCCGCCTTACCCAAGCGGGAGAAGTCATTCGATGATTTTCCCCTCTTAATACTTAACTTTTGTTTATGAATACATTTCGATCTAAAGAAAATTGGTCTTTACTCTAAATTTTTTACGCAAAATAAAATTATATGACGCTCTAGTGTGTCTATAAGTTAACGATAGAAGTCGTCGCTTTGAACTCAAGAATTAATATGTGCCAAGTTTGACAGAGTACAAGTTATGGATTTGGCTAATGGAAGTAGGTAATTTATGGGTGAATCATTATGCTGTGTTATTAGGTACTATAAAGTACTATCAGACTGCCCAAGTGCTCAATTTTGGACTTCTGTATACTCAGGCAGGAGTCAGGAATAATTATGAACAATGCATGTGGAAATTTAGTTTATGGAATATGAGTAATGATCAATGATCTGATAAGCAATTTGGATAACCTGGATTATTTTATGATTTTAAAACAAAGTTGTATTTATTGAAATAATATATAACTAGTTCAGGCACTCAACAATTTTACACCAGTAGTCGGCAGAAAAACAAGTAAGACTGCACCTTGCAGTTACTTGAAACAAAGAAACAAATAAAAATACCAACACATCGATTCAATAAATAGTTTTAATTTCTTAACCTATTAACTTAAAACTAATTAAGGTATATTTACAATCATCGACTCGGCCGACAATAAAAGTGCGTAGTTTCGGTAATATCAGTAAACGGTAACATGTACCTATCGACCATTTTGTTTCACAAAGCGTTCCTAAAAGTATGATAATAACAGCCTATACCAAACAATTATCTCTATAACCATCGGCACAATTTAGAGGTATTTTATACAGTCAAACACTTAAACAAGTGCAATTATCATAACCCACCCGAATAAAACAAAAAAATCAGCACATCGTTTCTATCTGTCAACAAGGCAGTACAGAAATCTTGATAAATTATCCCGCAATTAAAACTAAACCTTAACACCTAAATATTGAAGGCACTATTGATTTGACTAGATATACAAGAGTCTTTTCGTATGTAACGATCAATGCACTATTTATAAATAATGAACATCGTTTTCGGAGGGTTGGGTCCAGTTGTATCACTCAACGTTTCACCTGTGAACAAAAGAAAGCAAAAATTAGTCTTATTGTACAAAACACGTAACGTTCCTGTACCTTACAGTATATTTTAATCGAAATTCTGGGATACAATTAATTTGTTTAAAAAACTGGAGACTTAATTAACAATACAATTTGCATTTATTAAAATACGGATTAGTGAACTTACCTATTTGTTATTTTTGTTGCCACCATGAGATGACGTCTAGTAGCTCGTCCTCATCCATAGGACCGAGCTGTTGTTGTGTCGCTGTCGTGACCTCGTACCGATCAGCTGAGTATGCCGACGACACCCCTGATGAACATTCGGAGGGCGCAGGAGAGTCCGGCTTCTCTGAACAAGGTGATTCTCCGCCATAGAAGAATCCATCATCCATGTCCATTGTCGTCATAGACTGCAGTGTGTTTCCATTAGGAATATTTTCTCTATTTTCCTGGTCTCGTGTAATTCCTAAAGCTGCGTCACTTTCTTCAAGTAATTGTTGCAGGTATCTAATGTATTCTACTACCATCCTCAGTGTGTCGACTTTGCTTAATTTCTTTCCCGATCCTCTCCGTGCACCACCAGACAATGCGGCAACAACAGACGCAGGCAAGTGTCGGCGAAGAGCATTAAATCCATCATTCACTTGCTTAACACGATTACGTTCGCGAGCGTTACGTCTTGCGATCGATGCAGCCTGGGGTCCAGTGTAAGGGTTTGTTCTGAAGTGCACCTTCTTCCTGTATTGTAGATTTGGTGGAGTATCATGTGTGACGTAATTTTTTTCAGGAGCTGGAGCAATTGGCACATTCCTCTTATCTACTGGTGTCTTCGTTAACGTAGCTGAAGGATATCCAGACGCGACGACTACGTAGTTCGTCTGACCTTGAACGAGTTGAATTTCTTGTAGCATTTTACGTGCGTGCGGCGCGGGCGTTCACGAAAGATAAGGAACACGACCGGTCGGCGCGGCTATCGGAAAAGCACTGCGCGATAGGGGAAGGCTTCGTGGGAGCTTTCGGTTAGAGGCGAGCGCGAGCGGCGGCAGCGGAGCTTCACGTACAAGTGAGTCACCGGCGCACGCGCACGCGTTATATCACCTGCGCCGGCTGCAAAAAATATAAATTTTAAAATTCTCTTCCCCTATTATTTTCGATCATCCCTTCCCCTTGTACGTGCGAGTCCGTACCTGGCGTGGTGGTTGGGGAGTGCGAGGTGCGGCGCGGCGGGGGAGGGTGGCTAACGCGTGCCCAGTTTTTTTCTGTTGACCACTGAATGCTGTAACATAAAATACAACTTGGACAAACTTTCCAAATAATGGCTTGTGACAGGACATTTTCAGATCGCTGTAATGAATCAGGAATGTTTGGGTTCTTAAAATATCTTCCTTTATGTCTTATACAGATAATACATATAATCAAGATTAACAGGTTAATTTAAGTGCGTATAAATATCTGCGGAATTACCGTTAATGCGCTGCCACTAAAAGGGATGAAGAGATATTGTCACATAATCAGCGTATCGATGTCTTTATATTTAAAATAAATCAATCGTCTTAAGAATCCACATCAGTATTATGAGTTTCAATCTCATTGAGTGTTTGAGTTTAAAGGTATTTCTTATAAAGGCAAGTCGTATTCGAACCTGCTGGATAAAAGTCGCATCAGTGTTTATCGGTACATTATCGATAAAATACATTGACATTTACGTTAATGAAACCAATTCTGGAAATTGGGGAATTGAGTGGTTATGTTGTAAATGACATTACTCCTATTATATGCCCCTTACATATGTATACACGTGCATGCTCTGATAACTACGCTGGCTTAATTAAAAATGTTTACTTTGTTAATTAGTCGATCTCTATGGAGAGACTGTTTTAATTTTAAGTGACCGTCAGTTAATAAGATAGGACGGATCATGTCGATAAAAGTTATGGCACTTGTAAAGTTTATTGAACTTTATTTCAGTTTAATAAATTCACGGTTTAAAACTTCAAATGAAGTATAAGACTATAAATATTTATTCCTCTTATTTGTTTTTATGTAAATATGAGTGGGAAAAGAAAGCTATGAAGTAGAAGTAGGTATGTATGTACCTAGCTTTAAATTGTGATCCGTAAATTCTTACAAAATATTCAAATGATTTTTGTAACCGATAAAGACAGTACTAGAGGCAGTAATAGTCTCCCAGGTCCTACAAATAACACATATTTTCATAAATACCTTTAATCGATATTTCTTCTAATTTATGTCTATTAGACGTGTCTAGCATTGTTGAAATACGTTTCACTTAATTTTGAATTCTTCGAAATTTTTCTTCGAAAGCTAATGGAACATCGTTATTTTTTCTTTGTATTAAAATATGCCAATACCGTTCGTGTGAGGATAGCCGCCGTGGTGACAGTCGTCGGCGTCTTCACCAGCCCATCATCAATTAGATTTAAAACACGCTATGAATTGCACTTCTTAAACTTTGTTTTATTTTTATTACGTCGGCCCTTTGATCAAAGCCACCGGGTACCGTCAATACGATTGCGTGAATCGAATTTCTCTCATTCTATTTAGCTTTACTAATTGAATCGATATGCTTGTTTCGATGTTAGGTATTTGTTTTCATTAGTTACATACTCTGCTCTGTATTAGCGGTTAATAGGTCTTGTCCAAGTTTTTATTGGACCGTTTTCTAAGTTTCGCTCGTTAAATGCGTTTGGTTTATGATGTTTAATGTTGGTTCATTTAACAGTTTCACATTCTAAAATTGTATGGTGGTTGTTGTACACCATACCTTTGATTGGTCGAGCGATACATTATTTTATATTGTCATAAACATAGTTTACATTTTTTTTAACTTGTCCTAGTAACTTTATCTTATATTAGATTTAAATTGGGTTTCTTAATAAACCACAGGCTAGTCATCTCATGGGGTTGGGCCCCGTGATTTTGTACCGGATATGACCTGCGGGAAGGTGCTAATGCGTTCCGTAAATAACCGATATTTTTTTCCTGTTATGATTATTACAAATCGATCGTGGTCCGTTAGGGTTACGATAGCTATTAGGGGTAAATGAAAGACAATGGAATTAATTGGTAACCCCAGCTGAGCTGAAGTACAAAAGTTGTAAATTCTAAGATTTTACGCGTACAATACTCGTATAATGTTAGATGACAATACTCAGGAAATTCTAAATCTATAATATATGATTTGCCTTAAAAGCATTTTGCGTAGTAATCAGCGCGTTTCAATTGAAGGAATCATATATCCACCAGCTTTCTTAAAAATAAAACTATCAATGACATTCGTTTATACAAAAACGCTGATTCACCAACTCAGTCGTGTAACATCTCAATACTAATTTTATATCTTACAAGACCAACTTAGGTGTAAACTAAAAAGAACATTGAACCAACAAAAGAAGAATATGGTTATTAGCGTTCAATGATGTCGTTAAGTTATTCACAATAAGCTTAAGTAACAAGTTACATGTCTAGTAAGAATGTGGTTATAATTCAAGTCATTGTGTCGATACTAAGGGTGGGTACCCCATGCTCCTACGCTCACATCTCACCACCCACGGAACTCGTTTTGAATTAAGAGCTAAGGAATATTAAAATTATTATTGTCCAACGCATTTGTACGTTGATACAGTTGTAGATTTACGACCTTGTTTCAATGTTGTTGATGTGATATTATCTTGCGTCTGTGTGAAAATAAAATGTTTTACGTAAATGCGTAAGAGAATAAATAATGCGTATATGTAGTGTAGTCGTCTGAAACTCTATTTTTCAAGCTTGTTTAATACTATTTGAAATGACTATTAGTATAACTTAGATTATTCATCATATCAACAGCTTAGAAGTGGCCACTGCTGTCCAAAGGCTGCTCTTCTCACATGGACAAGGTTTGAGCATCACTACGCTTGCTCAATGTGGGTCGGCAATTACAAACTTATAATAAGAAATTTTAAGCCTAGGTTTCCTCACGATGTTTTCCTTCACTGTTTGTCATCTCGTTGGTAGCTTTCAAACCTGCGCCCTCATGCATTAGAAGAAGAAGGGTCTTTAACCCCTGGACCACTACGACATAAGTTTTTCATACTTAAAAATAGTGTAGGTATTTATATAATATTTTAGTCCATGTATAAGTTTTTTGTCCATATAAAAGTTGTATTCAGATTTAAACGAAGTCTAAAGTTCATGTAAAACAAGTGCCCCTTTTTAATACTACCGCAACTATTTGTAAACATTACACAATACGTAGCTACAACACATGTGCTATTCATATAACCCCTTGAAATTGTTGTGACATGATGACCCTCTATAAAAATGTCATAACAATATCAATTATTTTACCCCCCAAATACTCATGTCAATTAAGATTGAACAAATTGTTACAATTTTATTATTGACAGTTAAGATGTAAGTGTATTGTGAAAATAGATTACAGATTTTTTATTGTAAAACTAGCTTTTACCTGCGGCTTTTCCCGCGTATTCCTGTTTTATCCCTTGTAGCATTTAAACGGGATAGAAAGTACCAGTCACCTGTATACCAAACTTCATCAAATCCGTTCCGTAGTTTCAGTGTGATTGATGCAAATATCCAAACAAATAAACATTTACATTTATAATATTAGTGCGATGCAGAGTAGTATAACAGAATGTGCATGTCTTATTTTATCTTGTTGATTGCATATTGTTCAAATCTAGCGTCGATTGTGAATCGTTACTTTTAAGGACGTAAGATTCTCCATGGCAAAACGCGACGTCGCGTCGTATCCTCAAAAGATAGAACTCAGTAGCGACATAAATCTCTTTGCATACCCCGCTTAGAAATAACAGTCGTAATGCTTAACATTTGATTACATGTTTATACCTCTATTTATTTTAATAGATTTTTCTATCAATTCCACAACGGAAATTGAGTGACATTTACGAGTTATTTGAACAATTATGTCAGCAAATAAAACAATTAGGTGAAAATAAATGACGTGAGATGCGGAACATCGTGGGATATGAGGGTGAAAGCGATTGTGATGTGATAATTATGGGAAGCGCATCATCTGCTGTAGATGAAGTTACGCACCACTGATGTGGGATTGACAGTATGCAGTCATGGGTGGACATGCAGGACTTGTAAATAAACATGGAAATTGTTCTTCATCTATTGTTTTTATAGAGTGTAATGTATAGATTTTAACCTATTTATAGCATTATCCTATCTGCACTTAGACTTGGTTGGTTTTTTTTAATGGGACCTGCCCTCCACAACCTCCATAAACTGTTGCAACTCATGTAAGCTAAGATCTACGGTAGATACAACTATGAAAACACCGGAACTCTGAAGTTTGGCGCGTCTCAGGGACATGAGTAACTGTCTTGGTTCTCGCAACGAAGTGAATCGGATTATATTATAAGAGGGGAAGAAAAAAACGATAGTTTCCACTAAAACATCATGTTAAAAGGCGTTCAATACCTAATCATACGCCTGTCGATTTGCAAATATGCCTGAAATGAGTATGCTAATTTTGAGCAACCTTCCGACACACATGCTACTAAGTGACAGGTGCTCAATTGAAGCAACCTTTGGAGATCAATTTTACATGACCTCCATGAATAGCCCCCCCCCTCCATGAGACAACATGGGACTCACAACATAAATAGTGAAAAGTGGGTGTTACATTTTACAGTAGCATAATGTATGTACACCTCTGCCTACATCTTCGGGGATAAAAGGCATGATGTTATGTTGTGTCCTCCATGAAATCTTAGGTTTTGTACAAGGTCATTTCGCTGTATTCGAGATGGTCTAGACTGCGTATTGAATGTCTCATGATTCAATTTGCTTCAAACGAATCTGTACAATTTGACATAAAATCAATAAATCAGAAGACATTGTAACATTTTGTGATTTTCGTTCAAGACTTCTTTAATAGATATTACATATTATAAGTTCAAGGTTTATAGACTTCATAAATTTGACTTGTCATGTTTAATCGAAATCGAAGAGATCGATAACAAGGAGTAACTTACATTAGTAGC